CTGTCCGAACAGGGCTTGTTCGGCATATCTGGCCACGTCTTCATCAACGTCCACCACTGGTCTGCAGCTGGGGAGATGTAGTCACGGATCATAAGCCACACTGCATTTATCGGTTGCTTGACATCGGTCCTCACGACAATGCGCAGGGCGAGGTAGGTGAAGAACAGCCCGAGAATGATGCTGGTGAGGCTCCTAGACGATCATAAGCAAGACAACTTTAGCAACTATAGCAACTACAGTTTTATATAGCCTGTATTGCCCATAGTACTACTTGTGATATGTTTTTGCAGTAGCCGGAACTACAGTCACATATAACTATAGTTGTACTTATGATGCCGGTGAGGCTCTCGATTGCAAAGGCTGGATAGAGCGGGCCACACGCACGGAAGAGCTCAAAGTCGTTGAGGTCCTCCATCAAGACACCATAAACATATTATACACTATACCTACACTATCACATACTATATCTTACAAGATACTACTAATTCTGCACTAAAAGCTATAGTAATGTGCAAAGATGCACTCATCTCCTTAAACCCTAAACCCTACATCTGCCCTAAACCATACAGTAGACCTTAAACGCCTTCGACCTGAAACCCCAAGCGCTTTCCTCCAGCACCATGACTGAGACGTGTCGTGCCCCGGGTTTAGGGTTTAGGAGTTTAGGGTTTAGGGTTTAGGAGTTTAGGAGTTTAGGGTTTAGGGTTTAGGGTTTAGGGTCCTCCAGCACCATGACTGAGACGTGTGAGAGGTGAGCTGCTGGATCGAAGGATGATAAAATGGCTTTGAGCCGAACGCGACATCAGGAAGCCAGCGTTGAGTCTGCCATGGCTCCCCCTAAGTCAGGGAGTTAGAAGGAGGTCTTCCTTTATAAGGGTTCTAAACGGGGTTTTGTACAGGGCTTGATCAGGATTCTATAATAGTGCGTACTATGGGGCTGTGTAGAAATTTCCCGCGGTATAGCAGCAAATAGGATTGATAGGGTTCAAGGTTACCACATCCAGAACAGTGTCATGTATGTCATGCAGCTTCGCCTGCACTTCAGGCAAGCTGCGTGTGGCCGCGATGACACCTAAATCGAAACCTTGATCCCTAAACCCTAAACCTTAAACCCCAAACCTTAAGCCCCAAACCTTAAGCCCCAAACCCCTAAGCCTTAAACCCAAAACCCCTAAATTACTACACCTTACAGCCCTAAACATTAAACCCCAAACCCCAAAGCTTGAACTGAAGTCTAAGTGTCCTTAGCCAATCTCCTGGGCTGAGCGCAACAAGCCTTGATGATTTCGGACATCACAGCGCCCGACGTCTTGACTGTCACCTGCTTGTTGGCTTACGGTTTAGGGTTTTTAGGAGTGCAGGCTTTAGGGCTTAGGGTTTAGGAGTTTAGGGTTTAATGAGTTAGGGGTTTAGGGGTTCTAGGGTTTTTAGGAGTGTAGGGTTTAGGGCCTATTCTTGGCTTACGGTTTAGGGTTTAGGGTTTTTAAAGCTTTGGGGGGGTAACGTTCCACCGAAGCTGACCAACGCCAGTCACTATGAACCCATGATGATGACAATCACCCATAATCACGCTTATGTCCATGATGATGCTAGTTGCAACCGTAATAATCGCAACGCGATCAACAGCCATCACCATGGCGGCAATGGCAAGTATGGCATGAATCGTCTAGTCTACAAAATGAACAACCATGAGAGGGGCAGTTGAAGCCACTCCATCATACTAGCAGCATCATAAGCCACAGCGATGCCACAATCTAGCAGCAATCGTGCAAACATTACTGGCACCAGCGGAGTTTTGTGACAACAGCAGTAGGAGAGACGGCTTATGCAGTCTTGTTCAGCCCCATCAGGGTTTAGGGCTTTTAGGGTTCAGGGGAGGTGCAAGGCCTTGGGATGACGGAAAGGTGGTTGACTTAAGGACTCTGTAGTCGGATCTAGGTAAAATAGGGGCCTTCATACTTAGAATAGGGTTTTGAGGTAGATTATACTATATCTATGATAAGGAAATCCCCAAAGAATATAGGCAATCATTAAGGCCCCATGTACTACCTGTAGGCCGAAAAGCCTACCATTTTCGGGCTTCCTTACTCTGGCTTCTGTTTGAAAGTCCTTCAAAACAGGGCAGGCTGTTGGGGCTACAGGTAAGGGTTTATGGTTAGGGGGTTTTCGAGTCTGGAGTTACTGAGTCTAGGGCTTAGGGTATTAGGGTCAAAGGGTTTAGGGCAAGCTTGGGGTAGTAGGGTATTAGGGTTTAGGGCAAGTTTAGGGTCGGGGTAAACAGACGAAGCTCTACAGTAGGCTCTACTGCAACATGGAAGCATGTAGACGATGGACCAAGAAAACCCAAGACCCCAGCTGCGGTTGGAAGTATGCCGCAGACTACCGACGTCTTCAGACTAGATGGTTTAAGGTGCATTGTTGAATTCCAGCGTCTGCGGATCATAACATCTTCTAAAACCAGGAAAACTTTTGCGAAACCCTCCAAGCATCGACGAAAAGCAAACAAACAAACCTGCAGAAGACCCGTACTCAAACACCCCAAAACCCTAAATCCTGGTGAACCCTAAACCCTAAACCCAAAAAAACATTCTTAAACCCACCCTCCGCCGCCTTGCTCTGGAGCCCATTGAAGGTCGGCGCCGAGAGGGAGTGGGCCTCCACCGTTGCCCCAACAGGAAAGTCGAGAACTCCTCGGCTCAAAGTATTTACGGCTTACGGCTTCTAGGGTTTGAGGGATAGGCCCTAAACCCTAAACCCTGAACCCTAAACCCCTAAGGGTTTAAAGTTTAGGGCCTTTTGGGCTTTGGGGGGTTCCTTTAAAGTTAAAGGGTTGGATCTTTTTGTGGCTTCCACGGAATACTCCCCATGAGGACTTTGCAGATTGGTTCAGGGTTCCGGCTTGAGGGTTAAGGCATAAAGGCAGAGTCTTGGGGCCGAATAAGGGGCTTTTGTGGTTGTTGAGAGGTAAGGGGTGGCCACAAAAGCAAAGCCCTGGGGCCAAAGAGGTTTTTGTGGCTTGGGATTTGGGCTCTTGGAGCCGTGGGATCAAAGCGGACGGGGGCCGAGGGATGACTTGTCCGGACTACCCAGAGAACCCACTACCCCTTAAATAAGGAATCAATCTGCCTTAAATCATATTGATTATAAAGGCCCCTATAAAGCCCCTATAATTTAATGTATATTCCTTAATTAAGGGGTATTGGGTTCTCTTGGCAATGCAAGGAACATGGATAGCTGTAAGTAGGATCCGAAGTAGCCGAAGTGTTGGGGTTAGTATTGGGTAAACGCCGCACAACTCAGCTCACGCAATACTCACTGACACAGGAACATGAGGACGAAAGCTCGCCTGGGGGAAGGGAAACCCTAAACCCTAAACTCTAAACCGTGGCTCTGGGGTGTCAAGCTTAAGTTTTGTTGGCCACAGAAACGTATGTCTGCTACAACAGCGATGGGACTCCGGACAAGCCAAGGCACGACGTTTGCCAAGACGATAACAAGCAATGACGTTGCAAAGTCAGAGCCGCGTGAACGGGTTTAGGGTTTTGGAAATGAAGCACGAAAGCTGTGTTTCTTTCGGCGAGTACAGTACTTCATGCCTCGAGCAAAGAAGGAAGGGGCCGAGGACAGCTGGAATAAATCAAAAAGGACACGAAAACAAAACCCTAAACTTAAACCCTACAAGCCCTAAATATACTAAACCGAAGCAATAGTTAGCAGTTCGACCCTAAACCCTGGACCCTAAACCTTAGCAGTTCGAGATGCCAACAGCAAGTAGTATGGAGAGCCGGACATGTGAGGAAGGCGAGAAGCAGTGCTGAAGGGCAAAGGGGAAGCGACAAGGGGACCGTTTAGGGTGTAGGGTTTTGGGGTAGTTTGGGTTGGGGTCTAGGGTTTAGGGTTTAGGGTTGAGGGGTTTAGGGGTTTAGGGTTTAGGGTTTAGGGGGTTAAGGGTTTTAGGTTTAGGGGTGTAGGGCTTAGGGAAGCAACTGAAGAAGCGACTGCAGAAAGAAAGAGGAGCAATGAAAGAGCAAGCTAACACCTGGTTGGGCCTACCATTGCATGGTCGTATCGGCACAACCAGTTCTTACGCCTAGCAGTGAGTCAGTGCACCATGCAATGCAGTTGCAGATTGCAGAGCATTGAAATATCCGATCTACAGTGGCAACATGAGCTGTTGATCTACACTTCAGAGCACTTTCGACAACTCAGAAGGCTTGCAAGTCGAACATTACCCGAAGCCCTAAACTTTAACCAACACCCTAAATGAAACCCTAAACTAAGACCCCCAAGCACTAAGCTGCAGCCCTCAACTACAACCCTGAACCCGAAGCCAAAACCCTAAACTAACACCTCAAACCTATAACTAAACTCCCTAAACGACAGCCCTTAACTAATCCTCCAGTCCCTACAGGCGAGGCTCCCTTCTCAGGCTCCACGTCCACGATCTTCAAGTTCCCGGGCTTCAAAGCCTGCTCATCACAGAGGGAGGGTTGAGGGTTTAGGGCTTAAAAGTTTAGGGGTTCAGTTTGTTTCTTTTTTTTTTAAACGCCTCTTTTCCGACTCGCAGAACTAGGGGTTAGGGTTTAGGGCTTAAAACGATTCGGGATAATGCTGCTCTCATTCTTCCGACCCCCATGTTCGCAGCGTTCCCAAGCTCAAAGCCCTGGAGCCTTGCACTCAAAACATAGAGTTCAGCCCAAAAGGGGTCCGAAGGACCCCATAGTCAGGTACGTCGGTCTAGGATAGTAGTGCCGTAGGTTAGTAGCTGCTGTACTAGACTACCCTGAAGAACCTGGACCTGTAGGATTTAGGACCTTTTTGGGGTAAACTACCCCCATAAAAACCACCGAGACTGAATCATCCCAGGAGTTCTTGAAGCTCCCTAAACCCTAAACCCTCTAACCCTAAACCCTATAAACCCTAAACCCTAAACCCCAAACCTTGAAGCATCCTGCGTCTGCGTCTGCCTTCTCGCCGTGCTCCCCCAAAAGCACCCGGAAGCGATCTCCTTGAGGTCCCAGCACTCGTCCCTGATATGACTTTACCCATAGGCCCCTAAGTAGTTCCTTTTTGGGATTACCTTATAGGATGCTAAATATAAACCATAAACAGGAACTACTTAGGGGCCTATGGCCCGCCAAGGTTTCAGGGCTTCAGGGGTCCTAACAGCGCCACGGTTTAGGGCTTGAAGTTGAGTCCTGCAAAGGGCTTCCAATATGTTGATGTCTCGTACACAGTCTAGAGTGCGGCATGTCTCAAGGATCAGGGGACTGCGCAAGCAAGGAGATATTCATTCCCCTAAACCCTACGCCCACACAGTGCGGTAACACCTTGGGTTTCATGTGTCGGAAATGACAGGAATAGATCGAGGTGCGCCCTGCGCCCGCGTCCTCCGTAGACCAGGGTTTCGGGTTTAGGGCTTCGGATTTAGGGTTCCGCAGCGTTCCCGTGCCGGCTACATCCGCCGGGATTGTGAATCCACTTCTTCGGCGCTCCCGAGCACCTTCCCGAGTTCCCTGTTATTTTAGGGCTACAAGGGGGTTAAGGTTTAGACTCGACCTCAAGCCACGAAGTCGCGGAACTCCTGGCACCTCGTATGCCATTCATTCCAGAGGGCCTTTGGACATTTCATGGAGTCGGCAATCCCATGCATTTCCGCCTCTCTCGAAATCGCCGCCACCGTTCCGCGCCTAATATTGCGACCTTGATATGTTGTATAAGGCTTTGGGAGATATTCTAGTGTAGTTATAGTCGAGCATATTAGCACTTAAGGCTTTTGTGTATATACATGCATATATGGTTTGTTTTCTAATATTTATTCTTGTACATCTTTGTATGTTCTTGAGAATTGGGTACCGCTCGCGTTTCCACTGTGCTCCCGCCGGCTCCGTGTGCCTTCTGAGGTGCTCAGCTCTTGGAATGCCGTCGGCTTAGGCTGCTGTAGGTGCTGCTTGACAACTTGGGATCTACACTGGTGCAATGCCTTACTTTGAGGGCCATAAGTACTGACTCAATCTCTATAGTTGCCTTGCATATAGCTTACTAAGTCTGCTTGACATTCCCTGCAACTTTCGTGGTAATCTACACATATGGGGGATGAGGAATATCTCGCAGGGACGACGGACAGCAGACTAGAAGCATTCCTCTCATGACAAGCATCAGCATTGTATGCGTGCGTCACTAAACCCCCAGCCCCAAACAAAAGCAAACCCTCAAGCCCAAATCCCTAAACCCT